GTTGAAAATATTAAATCCTAAAAATGTAAACCCCTGCAGTTCTAAATTCGATGATTAAGAATCGATTTTAAGTTATATCTAATTTTATATAAAAATTTTTAAGAAAATGAAAACTTAAAAATTTAATAGCTAAGCCAAAAATGCATTAATTTCACTTCGGAAAGCTTTTCTGTGCTAGTTTTTTCCAGCTTAACAAATCTGCAAACTAAATTTAAAAATTTAAGAAATCAAAATTTTTGTTGATTTTTTGCAATTTTAATGATGTAACCCCTTATCAATTTTTGAAAAAATTTCAAAAAAATTTTTTTTTGTCAAACATGTCTAGAAAGATTCGCCTGTTGATGCTGATCAAGAATATATATGGTTTATAGGGTCGGAAATGATTCCTTGACTGCATTTCAATCTTCCGACTGAAATTTTAATGTTAAAAATAATTTCTAAAATATTAAAAATCCCACAATTAAAACCAAAATAATCCCCATATAGTGTACCCTTCATATCGGCTATCTCAACTAGATTTTCCCCAATTTTTTCCCCGCTTTTGTTGTCTGCTGTTGGGCCTCTGGTTTCCTTTTGTTTTCGCTTTCGCTGCCTTCTGCTTCTGCGTTCTTTGTTTGTTTATTTGCTTGTTGCGGTATTCGGGGAAATTATTATATTTTAATTACACATGCGTTCGCTGCTACTGCGCTGCTAGCGTCAAGGACAACAAACAAGGAGCCAGGAAGGAGCCAGGGAGGGGCCGAGGGTCGAGAGCGCGCGAATGGCCCAAAAAAATAACCGCAAAAATGTAAATGAAAATGGCGTGAAAAATCAGTTTCATGGTTTTTATATCCCTGTTTATTTGTTGTAAATGAGCACATTTTGGCGTAACGTGGGGGAGGCGGAGGTTGTTTACCAGGTCGCTGGAACGGTGGGCGTGGCGTGGCCATGGGTGCGGACACAACGGAAGTTGATTATGACCATTTAGCATGGCCAAAGCCAACGTCGAACGGTGTTACTTCCTAGGCAGAGTTTTAGGCATTTCGTCCTGTTGCTCTGCGTCGGCCTAATTAATTTTTGTCACTAATGTTTATATAGTTGGTAATGGGGACAGGTGCTGCTCCACACACACACACACACTCGGCCAGGCCAGCTAGCTTTATTACCCAATTACATTAGCCACGATTGTTTGTGTTTTTTCAAGGGGGAGTTTCCCCAGAGGGAGGAGCAGTGGGTGGTTCCTCAAAAGCCATCAGGCGTTCTGATTGTAACAACTTTGTTGGCAAGTTTTTTCTCCTCTTTCTTTTTTTGAATTGCCTTGAGAAATCATAGAATGCACAGGGGAAAATAATTTAAAAATAAAAAATTTAAAATATTACTAAAATTATAAAGGGTTTTTGTTTTTATAAAATACATATACAAATATTTAAATTCATGTAATATAAATTAGAATATTTCTGCAATTTATAAAGAGTTTTAAAAAAAAATATTGCTTTTTTAAAGCTCAAGAAAGCTATATAATAAATCTTATAAAATATGATACTATACTCCCTAAATTTTTATAAAATTTCCCAGAGCATATACAATTATTTTCAAGTGCAAAAATAAAATCAAACAATTGATGGTCTGCCTGTGGAAAGGGAAACCCGTGTAACCTGTCACACGTCCCACTCCCAGAACCAGCCCGGAGCTTGTTCTACGCGCCTGCCATATCATCCGCGACTCTCAATATTAAGAAATAACAACTTGCCAAGGGGCAAGGACCTGGGGGGAGGCTCGGGAAAAGAGGCGGGGCCAGGAGCACAAGGGAACTTTGCTTTTGGGGTCTTCAATGTAAACAAGCGGAACAAATATTTAACTCGCAGGCACTGTCTCCTGCGTGTCCTTTGGGGGGGAGTGGGAGTGGGAGTGGGAGAAGAGGGTGTGGTGTATGTGTGTGTGTGACACACACACTCGTATCCCTTGAAACTCTGGCACAAACTTTTCTCCTGCGAAAGGAGCTTGCGGCTCCTCTGTCGCTTATTTGTCGCCGCAGCAAAGCTTTGGCTTGTTACACTTTATGAAATCAGCTGCAGCAGTCCTGCCACGCCCCCTCCTCATCTTTACGGGGAGGGAAGCACAAGTGTTTATGTTTGTCTTGGCGAGGCGGTGGCTCATAAAGTGCCTGGCAAAAGCGAGCTGGCAGGACCCCAGGAACGACGCCACTGTCAAAAGTCACGTCGAGTCTATGCGAGGAGTCCTGTGTGCTCGCTTCTGGAGCATGTCCCTACCATAAACTTCAACTGGAAATTGTGCGTAATTATATTAAATTTTTATTGCCTGGCACACATGAAATGGAAACGTTGCAGCAATTTCCGAAAGCGACTCTCACAGATTATCCACATGCAAATTGTTCACATGACAGGATGTTTGGGGTAAATAAAAAAAGGGAAAGGAGGGGGGAAATTAGGAAGGATGTAAAGAAAAGGGAGTTGTTTTCAAGGAAAGCTCAAATTTAGGCAAATTGATTTTAATCAAATCAGGAGGAAGGAAATTCTTTAGTTTCTGATGAAAGTAGAGAGTCGTGGGAGTTTATTTTCAAGGGTTTTACAGACTTTAAAGTTAGAACAATGTATATTATAGTAAACGAAAAATATATATAGCTGATTCACTTGATTATTATATATTTAAAAAACACCCCAAAATAGCCGCAAATACCTTTAGAGTTCAATTCCCCTTGGTAATAGGAACCTAACTACTTTAATGATCTAAACAAATTCGATCGTTTTTATTGTTGCTATATCGTATTACCCTACAGCCTTGTCCAATTGAACAATCAATGTCATTGAATCCAGTTTTCCATATGTTTTACCCACACAGCCATTGGCATTTTCCTGATTTTTCCTGTTCAGGGTTTTCGCTCAACGTCTGGCAGTGCCTTTTTTTCTGGGGTTTCATTTGGCTTCGGTCGGTTGCCAGTGGCAGCCGCCGTTTGAACTTGTTTGACATTCCACCGACAATCAAATTTAGATGCCCCGATACCACTCCCACTCCCACTCCCCCCCTGAAACTCTGACAATTGTTCGGTTTGCCACAAAAGCACTGCCCCCACCTCAGCTGCTGCTTACTTCTGCCTCCAGAGAATCGCCTCCGTCAGCAATTATTCAATGCTTAATCATCGAAAGGCATCAGCGGCATGAATGGCATAAATCTTATTAAATATTCAAATGACACAAAAAGTGTACACACAACTGCAGAACAGAGATAGGGGGCGGTGGCCACAAATGCGGGCATAATTACCGGCAAAATGGGTAAAAAACAACACAAATGTCGGGTAAGAGCAAATGGTCAGCCAGCGTTGGCGGCGATTACGATTGTAGTAAACAACCACCACCCCCGCAAGATTATGGAGTCAGTCATCCCTCTTCTGATCATAAACAGTGGTCAGTGCACTATAATAAAATAATATAAATGATAATTGAGCCAGAGAATGCAGCATGAAAATGAAGAAAAATGCTTTTTTAGCTTTTAATTGAGGGAAACTGTTGTATAAAACTGCCTTAAATAATTTTTAAGTTTGATTTAGTGGGTTTTTTATTTGTAAATGCATTTTCAAATATTTTAATAAGCTAGAAAATATTTATCAAAAGTTTTCTAAAATGTTGAGCTCAAGTCTATAAAGATTTAATAATCTTTTTTAATTTTCTATATACCAAAAAAATCATTTTAGAAATTTATTTTTATGTAAAATTTAAGAATTCCTATATAAATTTATATTAAAGTTGTCTTTTACTTATAAACCTAATTTTAAAAATTTATAAATAAATTGTTTAACCCTTTTTCCCCTTAGTGTGTGGCAAGTTCCCTAGAGTTTCTTTTTTTTTTTGTGCCTCTTCTTATAGGCGTTGCCAATGCAATTATTTCATTTCCATTTTCATACAGGCGGCACAATGGAGTGTCCCCTCTCTTGACTGCCCCCCACCCACTATTCGCCTCTTAATGCCACACATGTGGGCGTGGCCCCCGAAGGGGAATTGCCTTGGGCTGTCGTCATCATCGTTATCGTCTCCGCTGCGAGTTCGGGCGAACGAAACTATTTGAATAACGCGCCATCCACACCCACGATCCCTGACCCCAGACCCCAGACCCCGGACCCCTGACACTACCCACGCACATACACTCTCCGCACACACCACCCCCTTTTAGTGGGTGGACCCTACCCAGTGTCCCCCCTTCGTGTTAATAGTTTTTCCCTTTGTGTTCCCGAGCCTTTTTCTGCTGTTTACGTTATCGCATGTTTTGGCTGGAAGCAAACTTAGTTGGACCACAATTACTGGAAATTAACGCAATTAGGATTTGCCAGGGCCAAGCCTTTGATCTTTGAAGCCTATAAAAATTATATAATCAAACAGGGGATTGCACGGGTCTCCCATATTATAAACTTTAATGGCAAAGGTAGGCCCAGTTACTAGTCAAAGGGAGTAGGTAATTTTGGGGTAACAATATAAAATTAAATAATTAAGTAAACGTTGCAGGTAGAGAAAAATATTAAATCTAAAAGGGAAAATAAAGCAAAGGAATACTTTAAAATTAAGGTTAAAGCTAAATTGAGATCAAAGTATGCTAAAATGTATTTTAAGAATAAAATAATAGAGAAAATATTAAATTTAAAAGGGAATTTAAGGCAAAGAAATTCTTTAAAAATAAGAACAAAGCTAAAGAGAGCTCAAAGTCTTGCTGAAATGAGTTTTAATATTTTATTTTCTGTATTATCCTTGTGCCCAGCAAGTGTATTACTCAAATTCCTGGCTATAACCGTTCAAAATCCTTACTCATTCCTGATTCATGTAATATGCTCAGGGCTATTTATTTAATGCGTAATTTCCATTAACGTCCTGGAGTCCCCTCAGGGGCCTTATGAATAAAGTATGCACCGAACGGGAGCTATAATTTCGTGGCTGGAAACCAGACCGAAAACATGACATTATAATAAGTAAAATCAAACTAATTCGTTCTCCCCTCCTCTCTATATTTATTTGCAGAGAGACATTGCATTAGTCAGCAGATCCTCGTCGTTGTCCTGTACAGTACGTGACTTGGCCTTTTCCAGGACTCCATTGAAAGGTAAGAAGCAGTAGGAAAATAAACATATGTCGAGGGGGCGGAATTCCCCCTCTGGAATTCCAACTAATTAAGTTGAGACCCCTATGAAATTCGCTTTTAAAGTAATGCTGAAAACGCAGGTGGACTATGATGATGATGATGAAGATGAGGGGGAAAGGGGAGGTAGCTCCTGGAATCTTGGCAATGTTTTATTCAAAAATTGCTAAAATATTTGGCAAGTGAGTTAAAAGTTCCACAGACGACGACGAGTCTGTCTGCCAAGTCTGTATTTATGTTTGCCGCCGTGTTTGTGTGTGTTTTTGTTTGTCTTTGCCGAGCATTTTTGCTTAACTGAAGAAGAATTTATTATTTTTGGAGAGGGGCAGCAGCAGCAGCAGCAGCTCAACGAGCATGACAAATTTTCACTTTGCGTCAGGCAAAAGTTGCAACAAACTTGCAACAGCGAAAATAATTTCGCTCCTCGTTGAAAGTCAAAACACACAGAGGCCCTTCTCCTCCTTCTTTTTTCTCCTTCGGGAAAAAATCTCAAAAAAAAAGGGGGGGCGGGAAAAGCTGGTTGAAGAAGCAAAGAAAAAGCTACGGACGACTACTTATCTGCCAGGACAGTCAGCCCAACACTTTTGGCCAGGTGCTGCCAATTTGGGCGTTAAGCAGTTACCCAGGACTTGCGAAAGTGCTACACTTGAAGGGAAAAAGTTGACTAGATTTTGAGAAATTTAAAAGAATTTTTAAGGGAAATTGGGAAGAGATTTTTACAGGATTTTGGGACTTTGAACTTGAGGCCTGAAGAGCAGGAATTTGTTGTTTTCTTTGTATCATAAATATCCCTCTATCTAACTGCAATTTTTAAGAAGAAAAATATTTATATATTTCTAATTAATATACTATAAATTTCCCTAAAAACAAATTGCTGTAATTTCAGATTCAAAATTAAACGAAATAATTTTCTTTTTACAAATTTCCCTCTTAACACTTTCCTTGCCGTGTTCCCGCGAGATCCTTGTCGCAGGGTGAGGAGACGTTAGCTGGCAAATTGTGCAGCAGAACTTAAGGCCAGAAAAGAGGCCACCAAAAAGCGAGTCCCTCAGAAAGGAAAGAAAAAAAAAACGAAGAAGGATCGGGGAGTGACGGCCAAAGTAATGTGCCAGCCAGCTCAAGTGCAGTGGGGCGTTGTCTGTCCCTTTTGCCGCAGGGGGCGTGGCAGGTGGCAGGCATATGCATATAGCCAAGTTGCGTTCTTCGTTTTTTTTTTTTCCTCCGAAAAATATGTGTCAACAATATTGGGAGAGGATGAAGGACGAAGCGAAAGTTTGCTCTGGCAACTAGTTTTCATTTTATTCAGCTGACAGGTATGCTAAAAGCTAAAAAACGTTCAAGACGACGATGAGTCCTGCAGAGCGAGAGAGGTCCTGGGCAAATGGAAGCGAAGTTGAAAGTAGTCAAAAGTGCGAGGAGCGGCAATGAGGGTCCTGGGGAACATGAATACCATTTTAGGTGGTGCAAATCTTTCATTTTCGCAAGGCGACTGTGGGCGGAGGTGGGCGGGGTCCCTCGTCCAAGGACAATATGTGTGACAGCTGGCAATGACTGCCTCGCATGATAACTGAAATAACAATAACCGGGCCAAGACAAAAAAAAGGCGGCAAACAGCGGCAGCTGAAAGGGTTAACAAATGGCAGTCGAAACTTTGGCGCGACTGTCAAAATAAATGCGAAGCAATTTATGAAATATTTATGAAGTGTGACATGGCTGACAATAAATATATATATGGCAGCTAAATGGGGGGAGCAGGAGCAGCAGCAGGACCTGCCTTTCAGATTTGATCGAAGCAGGCTCCAACTGGCGCTGACAAGTGACGCAAGCCAAAGACAAATCCAGATATCCCAATGTCCTGATATCGCCCCGGAATCCTTAATAAAAATGCGAATAAAACGTGGCCATGGACGTGAGGACGTCATAACTTGGCCACGCTGATTGATGGCTGTGTTTCGTCTGGCCCTGCGTCATTTGTCAGGCGGGGAAATGGCAGAGGGATAGAAGTCAGGACCTGGTATATACAGGACAGGAACTGCAGTTTGTCCAACTGACCAAGTTTTTCTGTAGCTGTCGCTTTATTTTGCAGCTAAACTAAATGGACAGAGCAAGAGGAAGAGAGACTAAACCTTAGTGGCTCCATCTCCAAACCCATTGCCATTCCATTTCCACCTCACGACTCCTCGTCAGTCGGAGTCAGTCAAAGTCAGTCAGTCAAAGTCAAGCACGTCCGAGCTGCGTTCATGTCACAGCTTAAAGTTATATTCACATGATAGGGATAGCAGGACTCGCACGTACACATACATATATTTATGGCAAGTCCTGCAGAGAGAGAAACTTAAGGGGAATTATAATAAAATTTTAGAGAAAATTAAGCTTGAATTTTCCCTAATATTTTCCTTTTGAAATTTCTTCTTAAGTCTTTTCTTATTCGTTTAAAAATCTCCTTGTTAAATATCCTTTTTCCCTGTGTATTTCTCATGCTGATGATGCTCCTGCTGCTGAGCCTGAGGAATATCCTTTAGCTGATGGGGGACTGCCATAAACAACTACGACTCTTCCGGCATAAAAACTTATTGTTGACAAAACCTCATGACACACGGAGAAAGTCCTGACTCTGGAGTGAGACATGTGTACATATTGTTAAAGTCCTGGCCCCGACTGACGATGATGATGATGATGATGCTGCTGAAGCTGGTGTCCTGGCGCTGCCTCAGCGGAAGTGTCACCATTTGTCAAATAACGAAAATTGAAAACAATTTCCACGCAAGTCCTGGCATCGCTCTTAGTCCTTCGACTTTCTGTGTTTGCTGCAAACTTGGCTGATACGATACAGAGAGAGAGAGTCCTGGGCCGCCTTTTTAAAGTTATCAGGACTGGAAAATATTATCCCTAGTAGGGTATGATTTTCCCTCTTGGAAAATTGCCGCAGTCGCAGTCGCAGTCGCCTGTCAGCTTAGCTACGGCTTTGCTCCAATTTCCCACTGGGTCGCCGTCATCATTGTTGTTGCTGCGGTTTGCTGCTGCTCCCCCTCTCTCTGCTCTGTCGACAGTTCTGTCACACTTTCACACGCTTTTCCCCCTCGGAAAACTCGCTTCGCCCTTTTGTTTGCACGCACACTCGTACACTTTTGGGGAGCTTTCCCCACACAAAAACACACATCCATGTGCATTTCTCGCTTCGAAAGTTTAATCGAAATTATAAACAACAAGACAAATTGCTTCTTGTTGCAATTTTCCTGAGAGAACATTACACAGCCCCGGATCCTGGCTTGTCACAGTTTGCCGCAGGACCTCTTCTGGTTGCTGCTGCTAATGTTGCTGGTCATGTAATTATTACAGCTGCTCCTGTTGCTCCTATGTAGCTTTTGCTTTCATTTATCTGCTGCTGCTGCTGCTGCTGCTGTAACTCTCGCTTTCCTTGATGTTGTGTTGCAACTTTCTCTTAACTTTCTAATTGTTGCCAAAGTAAAGTACAAGCAATGTTGCTGTCTCTAAATAATGTTGCTAATGTTACCTATGTTGCTCTTTAAATGTTGCTGGTTTTACTATAAAATGGATCTTAAGAAACCTTATGTTCCTTTGCTTTAACTTTGGCTCTTTGCCCTTTAGTTGCCTGAGAGTCCTGGCTGTTTTGGTCTCTTAGCCAGGCAGTACTATGTCCTTGCTGTTTCTGCTGCCAACAATATTATACTTGCTGTTTTGCCTACTATATATAGTATGTGCGTCTATATACAGTCGTGGAGCAGCCATGTTGCTGCTGCTACTGCTGCTGCTCCTGCTTCTGTATCCCTTGGGGGAATAATTTTCTTGGTAATTGTTTGTCGTCAAGGTTTGCTATGTCGTCTGGCCCCTCCCAGCTTCCAGCTCCCTGTGTTTGCCCACTTTCCGAGATGAAGAACTTAAGCCAGGAGATCAATTTGCTGGCAACTTGCATTTAATCTACAGCAAAGATTTCATCTATTTTTGTATCTGAAGAGAAGATATAAAGAGCTAGCGGTTGAATATGCTTTATGAGGTTCAGCTGTGGCTTCAAGGTGATAATTGTTGTTCTTTGAAAGCTCAGGCACTAAGAATATCTGTGATTAACTAGAGATTACTACATGTTTTCAATTAAAAGCATATTTTATAAACAACTTAAATTCGTATTTAAAATTTGAATAATTCTACATTCCCTTCTAATATTATTTAGCAATTTTCTCAACCCTTATTTAGTTGGTTCCCTTCATGTGTAGTGTTTTTCGTATCCTTTCCCAGTTCGATTTGCGATTCGCTTCGTCGCTCTCTGTTTTTGTTCGATTTTGATGTGAAGGCAAAAAAGAAGTTGAATCGTTTGATAAATGACTCATGAATGCCGAGTGAGGAGTCGCATAAATCTTATGATTTATGCATAATCAACAAATTGATTTTTCATTCGCTTGTAATGCTCTCTTAGCTCTCTCATCCTGCCACCTCCTCAACCTCCCACAGTCTCTCCCCAGGACTCGTGAGTAATTGGCTGTCAGCGAGGCGTTGCAATAAAAAGGTGTAAGTGTGCAAAGAAGGTCCTTTCTCTCCCACTCTCTCTCTCTTTCTCGGAGTCCCTTGTGGAAAATCTAATTACACACACACACATAAGAAGCGTGTGTGTGTGTGGGTGTATATTTTTTGATTTGCTGCTTGACGACACACTTAAAAATTCCCAGAATATCTGAAATATCTCCCCCAAGCCAAAGCCATATAACCCAGCTATCTCTGAGCTGCGGCTGCTGTGGTCCTCGAACCTGTGCGGCTTTATGTGTGTGTGTGTGCCTGTGTGTGTAAGGACATTTTAGTTTCGACTTTGCTTTGATATTTAAATTGAAGTCATCAAGTCATCTTCAGCTGGCAGCGTCTGGCTGCCAAAGTTTTCATGTATATTTTGAGTACTTAATCCTGCGGTGTGAGCCACTTCTAATGCTCCTTGAGCCCTGAACTTTGGCCAGGACGAAAGAGAGACGCCAGCTAAGCCGGAATAAGCATCGCATCATGCTACGCAGCACTTATCAACGTTTTATTTAAAATTTATAATCGAAATCAATGTAATGAAGCATGCCCGAGTCAATAACTCAAGTGACTTTCGGCTTTCCATCCACCTAATCCCCCCAGAATTTTCCGTTTTCCCCCCTTCCTCGGATATTGCGACAATATTTTATGCAAATCACTGGGCTCTCTGACTGCCGATAACGACGATAACTCACTTGACAACTGACAATAACTTATTTACACTTCATTATGCGAAGGCCTGGCAGTCTGGCAGGTTCCGAAATATGCCCGGCGTCAGTGTGACTTATTAATTTATTAAAAAATACGAGCATAATTAGAGAGCACTTTGCCCAATGACACTTGAAATGCAAAAGTGTCGCAGGGCTGAAATTCGTAGGCAATTCGCCAGGCCAAGCCAGGCCAGGCTCTCTCTCTCGCTCAACGAACAATCAGCGACAGTGTTGCAGTTATTTATGAGCTCGATAAATTTGTTTATGGGGTAAATAATGGAGGGGCGGGGGAAAACTGGTGAAGGGAGGAAAAATCCCAGTGAGGCGGAGGAAGTAGGCACTGTGACAAAGCAGCCGAGCGTCAAATGAAGCCAGCAGGAGGCCAATTCAACTTTCATGGGGGTAAATTCGAGGATGAATCCCACCGCGGAATCCCGCTGAATTGGCCCAAATGAAATATGAGCAAAAGTGAGAAAGTTAACAACATTAATTAGCATTTTTATGAAGCACTTTTCAACCGGCTTTCCTCCCTACCCTCCCCCTACCCCCTGGGAAAACGATAAAATAAAGCCAGCAAAGTCGCGGTGCCAGTTTCAATTTTTGCTTCACCTCAAATAAGGCGAAATTTATGACGTAGCTGGAGGGACTGCTTTCCGCATAAAATCAAATCCATTTGTTACGAGATGAGTCTATATATTCGGGAATATTTTGAAACACAGAATCGGAAAGACCATGAAAATCGGGAATTTTTTTGTGGCAGTCATTTCCACCTTGGTAGGGTTTTATGGCCAAGACACTGAAAGGAAATTATATTTTTAGAGATGGATAAAATGTAGAGAAAGGAATATTTGGTAAAATATATTAGGAACAATGAAAATATAAGAAATATATATAGAAAATTATATTTATAAGTTAATTCTAAGCTTTAATTAGCCAGGGCAAAATATTTATATTCAAAAAAATATCTACAGATTTGAAATCACAAATTAAAGACTCGAAAGGTTTGCTTTAAAAAGTAACAATAACATTTTCTTAACAACAAAAATTAATTTATAATTTAAGAATCTAGTTTAGGCTTTTCAGATCTCTAAAAATCCTTGGTTATATATTACATATTTTCCCGATTTCTCCCAGTGCCCCCGAACTCCTCCCCAACTCTGAGATAAACAAATTTTATTGACCGCATCACTCCCGTATTGTTCTCGATTCTTTTTTCACAGAATCCTCGCCGCCGAGCGACAGGAACATCCTTGCAATGTTGCCGCATCATCAGCGCCATAAAATGGCGGCATCAACGGGCCCACGAGCCATCTGCTTCCTGCTGCTCTCGCTCCTGCTCCTGCTCCTGATCGAGTCCACCGAGGCGACCCGCTCCAAGGAGGAGCGACGCAGCCGAGGCCGCGGCAGTGGCAGCGGGGCGGTGGCCGCCTCCACCAGCTTGAACAATGGCGGTGGCTACTATGGCTCCTCCTCTTCCGCCTCGTCGTCAGTGGGTTCGGGCTATGTCTTTACCAGCAGCAGCAGCACTGGCATTAACTCTGGCAGTGTGGGCTACAGTGGACCCATGGACAGCACTGGCTTCTGCACACGACGACGGGACATGAAACTGATGTGCTACTGTACTCCGGATGAGAACCATGTGCCCGTGCAGAAGGCCGAGTGCTGGGTATTCTCGGAGGGACTGCATCAGAATGACACCACCTGGACGCGATTCTATCAGCAGAAGCGCTTGCGGGAGCTCAAGTTTGTGATTCAGAATAATGCCAGATTGGATTATATACCCACAATGATCATTGAGCCGCTGAAGAATTTGAGTAGCATTGTGATTGAGTACTCCCAGGTGGAGATTGTCAAGAGTTATGCCTTTGCAAATCTACCTTTTCTGGAGAGGATTATCCTGAACAACAACCACATTATGGCCTTGGATCAGGATGCCTTTGCCAATCACATTAGGTTGAGGGAGCTGAACCTGGAGCACAACCAGATCTTTGAAATGGATCGCTATGCCTTCAGGAACTTGCCTTTGTGCGAGCGATTGTTCTTGAATAATAATAACATAAGCACCCTGCATGAGGGTCTCTTTGCGGACATGGCCAGGCTGACCTATCTGAATCTGGCTCACAATCAAATCAATGTCCTGACCAGCGAGATATTCCGGGGCTTGGGCAACCTGAATGTCCTGAAACTCACGCGTAATGAGCTCAACTTTATAGGGGATACTGTGTTTGCAGAGCTGTGGAGTCTGAGTGAACTGGAACTGGATGATAACCGCATAGAGGTAAGTGTATTGCAAATCCTCAAAGGATTTTTAAGTGCCACATTAATTCCCAGATTGATTGGAGTTTTACAAGTGCGTCTTTACGAGGCTTGGAATAGTTGTTTCATTGCTTTATTTATGGCACCTATATAGTATTATTATATATAGAGAGGGAGGGAGGGAGGAGGCTATGCACCAAACTTCTCAATCAACTCTAATGCAAGTGGATTAAAAAGATTTGTCTGCCTGTGCTCAGCCACTTGGTCAAGTTGGAAGCAGCTGACTTAAGAGGCCATAAATTGCCGAGTGGCCATAAGAAACAGAAGGGACGGGGAGAGAGTAGTAAGAGGAGCAGGGGAGGCAGGGTTCCAGGCCATAAATGGCACATCCTTGGGGCACAGTCACAGCCACACACACACAAACAAGTTTTTGCTGGTGTCATAAATTCAATTCGAATGTCTATTCTTGTGGTGATTTAAGTGGTCACTCAGCAGTTGGCCGCCGGGGCGCAAATATGATAAATAGATTGGTAAATTATGTTTTCGGGAGAGCAGGTCCTGGCCGCTGGACAGTGGCTAACAAATGTTCGTGTGTAGTGTGTGCGCCGCAAGTTAATCTACTTACAAAATATTGAATAACAAATCATGGGAATAATGGATTTATGGCGCTCCCATTCTGCCATCTGATATGCGTGGTCCCTTCTGCCAGGACGGTTCTTGTGCCATAAAAATGGCCAGCCGGTGGGGTAAATAGAAAAAAAAATGTCGCTTAACACGAGGCGAGTCGAGCGGAGCGTAAATCCTGAATATCCATATCCTGGCCTGGCCAACAACATTGTTCCTTATACGACTCCTTCGCTTTTTCCCATTTTACAAAGTGCTCGCATATCATGTCACACTCAGACGACTCGCATATGTGTCAGGACACTATGAAAACCAGGACGCACCCACACACAGGACACTCGAGAGCAGCAGCCGCTCAAGTGGGGTCCTGCTCTGGGTGCCCGTTCCGGATCCATCTTCTTTTTGCCGCATTGTCATAGCCATAATGATTGGGCTTGTTATCGCCCACGCAGCGCATTGTTTCCCAGGACCGGCCAGGATTGCGGGTCCCAAGGATTCAGGGATTCGGGTGACGACTTTGTGAGGTGTCCGTGCTGTTGTCGCCTCCAATAAAAGCAAATTGTGTTGCATGTTTGGCTCGGGCTTCAAGCTGCTTTTCTTTTTTTTGCTCACTTCATAAATCATTTTCCGTTAAAAGGTTTAGGTCTGACACAACATAAAACGCTGGCTGCATGCGTGTGTGTGTGTGTACAAGTGTGTGTGGGGATGAACAGATAAGCGGGTTAAGGGGTTAAGAGGCTAAGGGGTTAAGCGAGTGTGAGCGGAATTAACGGCTTTAAGTAGCCTGCCTGCCGTCTGTGCTTGGCTAAATTAAAAGAGTTGCCAGCAGTTTGACCCAAAAAGAAAGTCTCAAGAAGAACAACAAATTTAATAAGCAAATAGCAAGTTTTTCCAGTGTATCCCCACTCCCCTCTCTCTCTCTCTTAGCCATTAATCCCGGTGTCATAACTTTGTTTACTCAATCCGCACATAAATCGCTCGTAAATTATATTTTTCCTTTCGCTGTTGTCAAGCTAATAAATTGGAAGCGTAGGCATCGAAGAATCGCCCATCAAACTAACAAAATATCGCCATAAAATATATATACATTTTCTTTATGTCAATCATCTTGGCAAAATAACACGGAAAAGTGGAGGGAGATGGACATGGGTTATTTTTCAGGGGAACTCGCGATATATATCCTCCTTGGACTCGTCATTTAATATGCATAATTTTTCCATTTCCCCCGACAAAGCATATTGAATATTAAATAATGGCGGAAAACACCGCCTTCACTTTCATCAGGAGAACAAAAAAAAAAAAAAGAAAACAACAGAATAAACAGGAACAGAAACAGAAATGAAATAAAAGAAAACACTTTTTCCGTATAATAAAATTCAAGACAAACAAATTGGGACATACAAGTTAAAAAAAACAAGGCAGTACATACATATATGTATGTATGTGCACACACACAACTCTCTGTGAAAAAAAAAACAATGAAAATAATACGCAGAAATGCGGAAAAATGGCAGCAGGAAAATATTTTTCGGTTTTTCCTAGCTCTGCTCTGCGGTTGGGAGAGTAGAAAATATATGCGTGACCCCGATAAAACAAATTTTCTATAGATACATATATTATTTAATCCAATTTAATTGTTTAAAATACTAAAAACTAAACGTACTTTTTTGCAGAGAATTTCGGAACGCGCTCTCGATGGCCTCAATACATTGAAAACCCTCAATTTGCGGAATAATCTACTGAAGAAAATCGACAATGGGCTGCTTCGCGGCACGCCCGCCCTGCTGTCCATCAATGTCCAGGCAAACAAATTGGAAACGCTGACCTTCTACACCTTTCAGCCAATTATGGACAATTTGGTCAACAGCACCAGCGAGCTGTTGGTGTCAGGTGAGTGTCCTTTCGAATCTCCAGCTTGGACAGGATGCTAGCTGCTAGCTGCTCATCGAGCATCGACATGGGGGAGACATGACAAAAAGGCTGACAAGTGCACAATCATCATCGGTGGTGGTGGTGGTGGTTTCCTGTCAAAAGTCCCCAACTTGTTATAATTACCCATACGCCCCGTTGGCCCCGTTTAGTGCATATGGTATGTGTGTGTCTGTGTGTGTGTATATATATGCAGCCAAATGAGCTGAGCTCGGGCCATCAACTTTTATGTTCTTGGCATTTTGTGTGACTGTGTTTGCACTGCAGTGCTGTCTAGATGTCCTTTTTCAGGACAAGGAAGTTGGTTGGTTGGTTCTGTGATGTTTTTTAGGTTTGTTTGTTTGAAGGAGAAGCAAAAAACTAATAGGAAAATATATAATGTTTGGACTAGATTTAATTATAAATAGGTTTCAATTATTAATAGAAATTCTAAAGAAAACAATCACTATAAAAAGAATTTAAATAATATGTATATTACACCTATTTATATTATTAACCTACCTAAGCTTGTTTAGCTCTCTTTTTTAATTGTTTTTATATTTTTTTCCCCTTAACTATCTATGTTCCCCCTCAAAACTAAATGCCATCACTGTCATGTGAACTTCATTAAGGAAATGTCGTATCGTCATTGCTCAAGTGTGCGCTTCCGCTGACACTCACGTCCTGCCAAAGGCCCCTTGTCCTTTTATGTCCTGTCTTTATATGGGTTCTACACACACGCACACACACAGGCTCAGTCTCTAACACACACACAAAACTAAATTAGCCATTAAAGTGCAATTTTGAAGCGCTGCCCGACTCGAAACACATAACAATAAAATATATCTGGCTGGCAAGGAGAGACCACTTCAGTTCGGTTTGGTTTTTCCGTCAGCTAATAGCTCGTGCAATTAGCGGCTTGATTAGGCCAATTAAAAGGTAAATGAAAATGAAATAGCATGTGTGGGCCTAATTTCTTGCCACAAAAGCTGAGTAATACTTTGGTAACCAATTTTGGTTAAAGCGAAAGCATTTTCACGGCTATTATTTGCTAGTAGAGGTTATTTAGATAATGCTAATTAAGTTTTGTGATAATTGGGTTCTTAGATAAGAATATTTTTCATTAGGTTTGTTGAATATGGTTTCTAAATATTTATAGAAATTATTAGAAACTATTTTTCCATCATATATGTAACCAAAAATAACCCTCCAACTTTTTCCAATCAATCTTACCCTAACAATTTTCCTTTCTTCAAAGAAAATGAAAATTCTTTCAAGGCTTTCTGCCACCATGTTTCGCCACCTTGAAAGATTTACCTTTGTGTGCAATTTAAGTAATTTTCCCTTTGGCAATTACACTTTTTGGCGCAGAACGCGAATGCCAGAGTAATCAGGGCCTTGCAAAAAAATAGAGAAAAAAGTAACTAACACAAAGGGGAATGGCTTTCGCGTCCCTGGAATACATTTAAATATTTAACAACAGCCTTCAAAATCACATTTCTCTTTCATTTCACACACACACAGATACACAGACACATGGCCAACTTAATTATCACCCTCTCACACACACAGTGGCATTTTTGCTAATGGTTTGCCATTAGCATGACTCATTTGCAGCTAAAAAAAAAGGAAAAGTAGAAACAAAAAGGACGACGACTGACGAACATGTGTGTGTCTGCAACTGTAATTGCATTCGAACACACACTCACACACACACTGAGACAGACATCTCGTAAATTGGCTACAAATGACTTCAAATTGCTTTAAACTACAAAATATTTTTGCTTTTCCCTCAAACCCAAACCCAAACCCCAAAGAGAAACTTTTTAATTCATATGCAGTGATTATCCCCACACATTCACTTCATGATTCACATACTCACACTCGCACTGCCATGGCTTTTTAACTGAATGGTTCATTAGAGCCAAAAGCCTAAACTTTTGAAAAACGCCAGTCCTCTTGGCCCTCAAATATTTACATGCGATTTACTGATTAAATTTGATCAACTTTTTGTGGAGCAACTCAGAGCCTTCCTAATGAGCCAAAATGCTGTGTCACACTTCAAAGACATTTTTTTATGCTTGGCTTTTTGGTACCTTAAGTGTAGGAATTAGAGGGGTATATATGTTAAATATTCAATTTATGTACAAGATACTAGATATGTAGAATCTCTCTAAGAATCCATTTTTGAGCTAGAAGAAGGTTTTTATCAGGAATAAATACATTAAGTTATTATTTTTTAAACAAATTACTAGCAAAAAATATATAATTTTGGTTTAAGAAACCTCTTTTTCTGAACATTTTCATAACAAGCATTTTATTCCCTATAAAAATCTAGGTTTCTCTAGATTTCTTTAAAGTAAAATCTATGATATAACCCTTTTTCAACTTTATTAATTTATAAAAATTATAAATTTCTCTTTAAAACCCCTGGGTATCCTCTAGTCTCCACTCTCACTGAAAAAACTCTTACTTATTTTTTAAATTCCCCAAAAAGAGCGCTGCTCAATTTAGCGAAGGACAACATTTTTCCAAGTGGCAAGGCACCAATGCCCGAATAAGGCGTTTAAGCGATGCCCCAAGTGCTCAGTTCGAGTGTGGGAGTCCATATATAGGGTAGAGCTGTCTGCGAATGGGAGGTGAAATGCCAACTCAAGTGCATAAGAGCGCATAAAAATTGCAACAAAATGGCCAAGGACATGGGGCGAGGGGGCCGAAGCGATGGCCCAATGACTCGAAACAGACGTTGACGCTGTCGGCCAAAGATAAACTCGCACTGGCAGCCATAAAACGTGACGTAAAGGGGGCCACAAAAAGCTGAAAAGAAAAAAACGTAGAGGATCTGTCCTGCAGCTCCTCTCTGCTCCTCCTCCTCCTTCACAGTGACAGGCCTTCCCCGGGGGCGAAAGTATTTGCCAGGACTAATCGATCAGCTGATGGAATTTCTCGGCAGACCGTTTCCCAGGGATTTGGCATCGCCATGAAGGTGAGCCTGGACCAGGACGACGACTACAACGACGACGAGTCAGCAAAACTATTTGCCAAAATGCCCGTCACACGTCTGCAGGCTAAAGTCTACAGACTACCAGGACAAATGATCAACATGAACTCGCCCTGCAATTGCTGCACATGCATCAAGCTCTCAGTGACTGCAATCTGGAGTCTCCCTGCTCTGGCAGCCGAGGTTGATAGTTGACTCGTCATTTCGCGCCGTGATTTGTGCAGCAACTTGAACTCTGCACCCGTTGGTAATTGCCATTGACAGCAGCCAGCTAAGCAGCTTTAGTAGGTAGGTTCTGGCAAGGATATATTTAGGGAGGGAGTTGAAATGCACTAAAAGTAGGTGGCCTGGTTTTTGGTTTATATTATATAGAAATAAGACCTGAAATTAAGGGTTAACTTAAGCTTATTTTAAGCAGAATTTATATAACGTATTTTCCTATAAATTTCCAAACTTTTTTCTCAGTGCATCTTTGAGGAGCCACATCAACCGCTGCTGCCGAGCCGAGCCTGCTTTGCATTCAAATGTTGTCCGTGTGCGGGCATTTGAACACCGGTCCCTAAACAATGCCCCAGTTGGCCATTTCACGGACCTTTTGTCCAAGAGCCACCCCCAATAGGGGTTACCACCCACCTCCTCTATATTGCAGTTGCAGTTTTCAGGTTGCAGGTTGCACCTATGGCCAATGTATTTGGTGAAAAATTTATAGGCACGCCCTGTGCTATGGCATTTGTTTCAATTCCGAGGCCCCAAAGGGTCATGTGTGTGTGTATGCCTGTGTGTTTGTTTTGTGGGTGGAGTGGTGTGGTGTCCTGTATATCCTTGTTTATTTGTATGCGAATCACGTTTTGTTTGTGTCGTCGCGCCTGCGGTGTCCTCTGTTGGTCGTCGTCTAGCGCCCATGTCCTGCAGCCATTGCGAATGCTTCCGCTTTAAAAAGGCTGCCACAAAAAAAAAACAGAAAAGGAAAAACGACAACTGAAAACCGAAAATTTTTCACAGAAGGCGCCGCCATGGCAATTGGTAATAAATGCCACGCCTTCGTCCCAACCCACGAGGGTCCTGGCCAGCTCAATTGGTTCGTTATGCTACTCGCCGGTGGCCGGTGTCCTGGACCCAGTCGTTAGATGGAATTGAATGGTTATTGTTTCGAAATATAAATAGGATTTCTAACAGATTTTTGTTTTTTTTTTTTGGTTGTGTGTTGCGTCCAAGCTCCGCTTTTGGCACTTTTGGTATCGCAAAAAAAGAAGAGTGTAAAAACTGCCAGTGTGACTATGACAGCTGGAAACTGCAATTTGATTATTTGGTCCACCCCTTTCTGTTGGCTGTTTCTGTCTATGTTGTCTAGCACTTAATAGGGAATTGTAAAAGGCGAGAGTTCATACATTTTGATGAGCTCAAGCTATATAGAAGTCTGTAGAGGGGAAATATATATCTAAATTTAAGGTTAAAAGGGTTCTAGATACTTATTAAGGTAAGCTTTCTTCCAAAAATACTGAAAACTATAAAGAAAATTAAAGAAAACTTGAAAACTTTGCTTAATAACAATTATTTATATTTAAAATAAATATATCAAGATCAAAAAACTCCCTAAAAATCAATTATTTCCCTTAAATTCCTCTTAAATCCATTTAAATTTAATAACATTTATATACCAATTACCCTTGTATTTATTCCTTTCCCCCTTTAAATCACCTCATTGATAATTAACCTGAAAATTAAGCTTAAACTTAAGCCTGAATCGAGGTCACTCCACTGACCCCTTGGCTAATTTAATTGCCCAGCTAGGCAGCAAATTAAACTTTCAACTTTGAAGCGGGCCAAAACTCATTTGTAATGCAACATCAGCATCCTTGTAAACACACACAGACCGAAAACTGCAACAATAAACAGGTATTAGAGGGGGAAGGAAAGGATATTCATGCCGGAAGCTAGAATTTATTGGAACGCATAAAAGGCGTTTGCGCCTCATTGGCAA